GTCTGTATTCGCAAAAAGAAAAGGAATACTTGTGGCACCTTAGAGACTAACCAATTTATTTGAGCATAAGCTTTCGTGAGCTACAGCTCACTTCATCAGATGCATCCGATGAAGTGAGCTGTAGCTCACGAAAGCTTATGCTCAAATAAATTGGTTAGTCTCTAAGGTGCCACAAGTACTCCTTTTCTTCCTCTATGTCAGACTTTAAGCAACCTTTTAAATGTTTTTCTTGAATATATATTGAAAAATCACAATCACAAAAATCATAATTATGCATCTTGCTTGTATGAAGTCTCCCTTAGAATTAATCAGAGGCAGGACAGTTGTAAAAAACCAATGTTTTATATAATATTTTTGGACTTCAAGATATAGATACATTTCTAATGGCTTATAGATTATTAAAATTATTTACTCAGCAGTAGAATTGTCAAAGGAAAATTTATTATACAACGTAACAAACTGAAGACCTAAGAATAAGAAAAATCTTTTAGTTTGTAATCAGTACTCCAGTAACTGGAGCTGATTTCACATCGCATTAGGGGAGCATTGCGAGCATGAAGCAGCAATGAAGCCATTGCAAGTGACCACAGGTGGCTCATCCCAGGGACAGGAAATCCACTCACAGCATAGTAGGTCCTACTACCACAATCATCCCTAGAGCTTGCCTAAGGGGCATGGCCAGGATTTTCTTTTGCCCTGGTGTTCAAAATCGACTATAACAGCTCTTTGGCTATTGGCAAATGGTGCAATCTAGAGCAAGCGTTCTCAAACCGAGGGTCGGGACCTCTCAGGGGGTTGCAAGGTTATTACATGGGGGGGTCGCAAGCTGTCAGCCTCCACCCCAAACCCCACTTTGCCTCCAGCATTTATAATGGTGTTAAAGTGTTAGGGGTCGCACTCAGAGGCTTGCTATGTGAAAGGGGTCAGGAGTACAAGTTTGAGAACCACTGATCTAGAGAAATCCTTAGGAACTAATTTAGAAATGGAGACAGAACAAGCAGCAAAACAGCACACACAGAGAATGAGAAAAACACAAAGTGGTTGAAGGCTCCCTCTTGCCTCCAAGTCAAGTGGTTGACTACAGGCAGGCAGCCCATCTGAATGAGAGTTTCTAAACCGGCACAAAACTCTTAAACCAAACCAGCTGCTCTGCCTTCTTATATTTGGTCTGATAGAAAGGAAATGCCCTGCAGGAAAGGACAACACAAGATATCAAAGAGCCTGGTTTTTCCACTTCATTCTTTTAAGCTTAAGTGTTATGCTGACAGCAAATTAGAATAGTGATGATGGTCCTAAAAGCTCTCTTGTTCAAAATCCTTTCTATAAATTGTGTGCTGTAGCTCCAGTATGGAACTATGTTTAAAAAAGGAATTTATCTTGAGCCAAAATAAAGTGTTATCGTTATTTTTTGCAAGCCTTTACTAACAAGTTTATACTTTGAGGCTAATGTTGCATGGATATTAATATTCACCTCAAAGAAATCTCTGAACCAAATTTAAAAACAATTTTTTTTTATTTTCATGAATATTTAGTCTTTAAAAACAAAACCATTTGCAACAGCAACTGTAATAATAAAAATCTAGTGTAGAAACTATACTATGTTAATTTAAATATAAATTATTTTAAGTCCTCTCGCTGTTTAAAAATGTATTCCATATGCACATTTTTGTAGAACAGAGAGCTTTCTATTATGATTTGAGACGGTGAACACTTTGTTTTATTTGTCTTAATTCTCTCCTCCATTTTTAAGAAAACTGTGAGTACAATGTAGTTTGTATACAACTCCTAAATAAGTACATCAGAACAATTTATAATTAAGTTAGTGTTTAGTGTTGAGTAATAAAAAAAGAGGCTTTAAACTCTCTCCTTCTCCCACCTACCAGTCAGTAAAAGGAACCCCTTTCCCTTCTCTAAGCCCACTTCCCACAAGCTAACAGACTCCTCCCTGTAAACAGATGACCTCATGCAACTAGGCTACCTCCCTTCATGAAGTAGCTCTGTCTGGGCTTTCCGCCAGTTTTTCCGTGCCCCCAGCATGACTGGGAAACGTACCTTACTTCACCCTGTTGGTTCCCAGTTCAAACACGAGGTGAGCGTCTGACAGCAAGCAGAAAAGGCAATGTAGAGAGTAACATGAGATTCAGCATGGGGGAAAACAGGATCAATCTATACTTCCCCAAGGCAAGAATCCTGTGTCAACCCACCTCCCACTAGCAAGACACCGTTCCTCCTCATGCTACAAAATAATATGCTAAATTAAAGAAGTCCGTGAAAGGTACAGGCATACATTTTGAAGTTTGTATGAATTCAGTGGGCGCTATATTATCCACTTCTGGTCCAGTTTAGTAAGTTAGCTCTCTCTTTCCTTTTGCATAAAGTCTGAGCTTCTAAAAATTCCACCCTTACCTACACTTTACTTTCTACATCTCTCACAGAATGCTCACTTTTTTATCAGCTACCTTTTCCTCTTTCTAATCTCTCATTAAAATTAATTTATTCTATGACATTAACATTAAGTCAGCAGTATAGAGTGAAAGATCACACCACTTTAAGCTTGGACCTTGCTGTATATATCGCCATAAATAGATGAGAAACAAAACGATCAGAGTAGAGGCTTGAGGGAAAGAGTTGTACACTCACAGCACTGAACCAATGTCCAATATTCAAATTAACATGGGATACTCCAGCAGGAGAAGCTATATAAGCAAATCAAGGACAGAATTTGCACTGGAACAAGTAAATCATAGCATTCCTCAACACAGGGGCTGTCACTGCCTTCCACCTACATTTCCTTCCTTCCCCCTCCTTGTTTTAGGGAATTACAACTACCTCCCTTTTCTAAATGGGATCATGGGTCCTGAAATTTGTGGGAAAGAGAATTTCTTGTTGTAACATAGGGTCTTCATATGGGAGAGCTTGAGAACCACGGATCTAAATCCTCCTTCCCGCATTTAACACACATCCTGCCTCCCCCTTCTCTTCAACTAATTGTTACACCCACTTTTTACTTCCAGTTTTATTTAGACTGTAAATTCTTCATGACAGGAACCTTGAGTACCCAAGCTTGTCCAGCATCTTTTCATAATAGGATCCTCAATCCTGACTGCAATCTCCAGGCACTATCATAATACAAATAAAATAGATGTAGGATTGAATCTATGAGATCAGAGTTTTGGAGACAGTGACTTCTAATACAAGAAACAGAAAATAATTTTGTACATAAATTACCTAAAATCTTGTAATCTAATAATCTTTAATTTGCTATTTTGTATATACTATATAATATTTAATTTAGATTAAGCAAAGGCATTGGGGTTTTTTTTAAATTAATCTAATGTTTAAGAGATGACCTCTGAAAGTACTGTTGCTGACCCTACACAATCACACAAATTTGCTCTTCTAGTCCAAAGATCTCCTCAAAGGTCACTTCTTTCATGTTAGCCTTCCAGCAATAACCTCCACCCATAAATTCATTGTAGACAATATGTTCAAGTTGACTACACAGAGAACAAAAAGGAGAAATTTACCAGATGCATATGTTACTATATGTTTACTCCGTGATCATTCACTATTGCAACTCAGCCTCTCCATACCTCTCTCCTTGTTTATCACATGCTTTAATTCTAAACTGCTCAAGGCAGGGACCTTTCACTTATTATTTAAAAGCACCATGTACCTTGATTGCGCTATGCCAATAATAAATCTAATCTTCTGGAGAACACATCTTTGTTTCTTAATAAGGTTCCACGAATATTCCTCTTGAAAATATTCACTGTTTTTTAGTTTGAAACAAATTTTATTCTAATCTAAACAAAATGCATCTGCCCAACTTTGTCAGTAGCTATTGTTTGAATCTATCTTACATGGACATAATTTCTCTGCCTTTGTTTTCACTACAGTGCCATTTATTTTATTTTAACATAACCTCAGACTGACAACATCTAAAGCACTTCATGTAGGTTTGTGATAAAAATTTGAGTTTGAAGACAATTATCAAGAGTAAGCTGCAGGTGGGTTTTTGCAGTGTTCATCCACAGGAATTCATCAAGGTCCAGACTTTTTAGTGCGTTAGGAGCAGCTAGATTTGTTCTCTATTTTGATTGTAACAGTTAGGAGCCTGGGGTCAAAAATCAGCAGGCTCCAACTTTTCCCTTTTCCTTTGCAAAGAACTTTCTCAGGCTCATCCCCACACCCTATCCCCGTCCCCACTCAGAACCCTAGGCCTATTACTACTGTTTATTAAAACAGTGCCCAAGATCCAATCTAGAATGGAGTCCCATTGTGCTGGGCACTGCACAAGCAGGAGTAGCCAGTCCCTGCTCCAAAGAGCCTACAGTCTGAACAACCAGGGTTGTAGCACACCAGCAGCGCGAACAAAGCAAGGGTACAACTAATGGCACATGAGCTCCACAACTGGGGGGGCGGGTTTCGCTAAGCGGAAAGGGGAGGGGAAGGGGGCCGTGCACTAAAGGGGGCGAAGGAGCAGCTGTGGAGTGAAGCACCTTGGCAAAAGATGAAGGCTGAAGCAAATACACAAGCACCCCCCACAGCTGACACCCAGCAACGCCTCACCCTCGTGCGCAGACCCCCGGCCAGCGCGCAGCGACACCCGCACCCCGCGCTGTGCCGCCGCCGCTCAGGCCAGGAGTGGGGGCGACACTGACGAGGCTGGAAAGGGCGGGGCACACAGCGACCCTCGCTACGGGAGAAGCCGCGTCGGGCGTCGCTCGCTGGACACGGGCTGACAAGCGGCACCGGGTGCTCGCAGGCGCCCCACGGGCCAGGGGACCCGGCTGCCGCCGCCGCCCCTGCCCGGCTGCAAGTAACTCAGCGAGCTGGGCCTAGCCGCCCCCCATCCTGCCCCGCAACAGCCCCGCAGACGAGGCCCAGGCGGGAACAGAGGCCACCTCTCCGGTCCCCCTCCCACCCCGCTGCCCCACCCAAGCCCCGCTGCCGGGATACGGGGCCGCCGAACGGCGCCGCGCGCGGCACCTTCCTACCTGACAAGCCGAGCCCCTCTACCACAGCGCGACGTCACAGCCCCGCCAGCGTCCCGTGAGCGCCGCCAACGAATCAGCGCGGACCTCTCGCCACTCGACAGCCAATCTACATGAACCCCGCCCCCTTGCGACACTGTTGGTCCAGCAACCAATTCCGTAGAGAGGAATGGCCTGTCGTTCCCGCCCCTGCTCCAAAGGAAGCAAGGCGATTGGCAGAGGAGTCTACTGGGTGGAACACCGGAAGACTTGAGGCGGGCGTGGCCTCTGTCTGCGCTGGCCGCTGTAAGCGGTGCGCTCTGCAGGTTGGCGACGGCGTTGGTCTAGGGGTTGGTGCGGGACAGTCATCCGGGTTCTAATCCCGCAGAGGTGGCGGTCCTCCTCCTCCTCCTCCTCCTGCTCCTGCTGGGTGGCCTGAAACTAGGACTCACCCGCCTGCTTGGTGGTGCGGGCGCACGCTGTTACTGTTGCGGTGGTTCTTTACTGACAAGAGCACCCCTTCTGTGGCACCACGGAGACCAAGCTGCCTTGTCAAGTGCCCAGCCTGTTCCACCTGCATATGGTTCCCCAGCAGGGGCTAGGTCATGCAGTCAGTAGCTGCCCGAGGCAGGGTGACCAGATACCAAGTGTGAAAACTGGAGAGGGGGTGAAGGGTAATAAGTGCCCATATAAAGCAAAGCCCCAAATATCAGGACTGTTCCCATAAAATCAGGATATCTGGTCACCCTAGCTCCAGGCCTTTCAAGATGTGCCTTGTCAGGGTTGTTCCTTTCCTGTGCATTCAGGAAAAATGTAAAGCGTTAAAAACTTTCACTGCCACTCAGGTGAACTGGGATGTGAATCCTTTACCTCAGGGAGCCTGCATTTAAAGAAAAACACCCAACAGCTTGGGACAAAGAGAAGTAGACTGGAGATAGAGTTGTGAGAGTCAGCCACAGAACAAAGCATGCTGCGCAAGGAATGCCAGGATATCTCATGCACAGAAGATAGTCTTTACTGCATACTGTAATCAAAAGTAAGGGTAGGTCTACACTTAAAATGTTGCACTGGAGCAGCTGCACCACTACCACTTAAGTGAAGATGCTCCTATGCTGACAGAAGAGTTTCTGCCATTGGTGGTTAGTCCACTGCCTCAAGAGGCGGTGACTATGTCAAAGCGAGAAGCTCTCTCACCAACATAGCACTGGCTACACTGGGGGTTAGGCTGGTATAACTATGTGACTCAGCCCTGGTCTACACTGGGGGGAGGGGGATCGATCTAAGTTATGCAATTTCAGCTATGTGAATAACATAGCTGAAGTCGATGTACTTAGAACAACTTAACATGGTGTCTCCACCGCAGTGAGTCGACTGCTGTCACTCCCCTGTTGACTCTGCCTGCACCTCTCGCAGCGCTGGAGTACAGGAGTTGACGGGAGAGCGCTCGGGGGTGGATTTATCGTGTCTAGACTAGATGTGATAAATCAGTCCCCACTGGATCGATCACTGCCTGCCAATCTGACGGTAGTGAAGACATACCCTCAGGGGTATGGATTTTTCACACCTCGAGTAACATAATTATACTGCTATGCTGGGTCGACTCTACAGGTTTATAAGAGGAAAAGTCTTGATTTTTACTTTTACAGGAAATGGTTCTTGTGTCCTACTCACAGCTGAGATGACTAGAACTCTCATTCGTGATGGGAGAGTCAGAGTGACAGGCACAGTTACTTTACACTCTCTTGGAGGGAAGTGCAGGGGTGTTCAAAGATGGTGAAGGAGAGGCTTGCACATTCATCTTTTCCTCAAGTTCATCGTAGGCTAACTTCTCCGAGCTTCCCTTCTCTCTCACTATAATGTCCTTCTCTCACCTGGACTCTGAAATACACTGCAGCTTTACCTACAAAAGTAGGAAGATAATGAATGTAATACATTGCTGTAAATTCCCCAGAAGGACTGAGAAAGGATTCTTTAATAAGTAGATCTTACTGCACACTCATTTACTGCACTTAGAGTTACTGACAAAAATTCTCTGCCCTGAAGCTGCACTTTCCATTTCCACATTGCACTTAAAAGGCAGACTAACAAATTGTTTAATTCCATGTATGTTGTATTATGCTAATTAAAGAGCAGTAGATGCCTTACAGAAAACCATTTTTTCTGACTTTTTCATGTTACTATAAAATGGGTAAATCTCACAAACTACACTTTTCACCAGGTTCAGTTAGGTTATTACAAATGAATTGTTATGCTAACCTAGCTGAAGTCATGTACACATCATTAGATTCTAGTGAATGTGACTATTGGCAATATAACAATACAATCATGCTATCTATAGAATACATCATTAGTGCAAAGAGTGCTAGTAGTACTATTATGGGTATTTAGTATTTACTCTCTACTGTTTAGGATAGAATTTCCACACTACTAAAATTATATGATGAAGCATTAAACTGAACTCCTGACCACCTGTGATGATGAACAATATTAAGCACTTTTCACAAGAGAAAGGATGTTCTTCCAAGTACCAAAATAACATTCTGGTTATCTTTATTCCATTTATAGTTTCAACTGATACATTATTTTTCACATTCTATCCTGAAAAAAAAAAAGGAACCTCTGGTAGAATGCTGATTGTCAAAGTGGCTATATACCAGTGGAGAATGTAAATTCTGTTTATGTTGCAACCTATAAAAGACATCTCACAGCAACATGGTGTGAGAAGCCAAAACAAACCACCCAAAAAAGCTTTAAGTCCTCCCCTGTGTGAGATATAATAGTTCAACAAAAAAAGGCCTTCCTTCTAAAAAGGCATACACAAGTTCAGATAAACATCCTTCCTGCTACCAATTTTTTTTTAATATGTAAATATATAAAAACAACCTCTCCCTTTCTGGAGTCTACCTATAGGCATAACATTCACCCATTGCTGGCTCTCCCCCATCTTGCTTACTTCCATCTCCTTTTATATCTAGCAGCTGGGCCCGACAAGTTATTGAGTTCAGCTGCAAGTATCTTACACTCCAAAGTGTAGAACAGGATCTTCCTTACTGTTTTTAACTGAACCAGTGCGTTATAATGATTTTATTGCAAAAGTGTACCAGAGAAAGCAGTATACACACTGTACTAGTACAATGGCCAGACTCAAAGATCTGTAGCAAACAAGGAGGAGATCATTTTCCAAGATAATGAAACTGGCCTGTTGTCTTCCTACACTCTATGAGTCAAGTCCATAAGAATAAAAATTCATCAAGCTTCTCCCCCGCCCCCCAAAAAATCACCAAAATATGAAAATCACCGTATGCTGAATATGAAAAAAAATGTATGTCACTGACATCTATAAAGATCACCGTAGGGGAAGTCAAAATGCTCATTGTGATCCTTGGAGACCCTGCTTACCCTTTAATGCCGTGGCTCATGAAACCCTACACAGGGAGCCTTGACAGCAACAAGGAGCGGTTCAACAACAGGCTGAGCCAGGGCAGAATGACTGTGGAATTTGCTTTTGGCCATTTAAAGGGCCACTGGTGCTCTCTGTATGGGAAGCTGGACCTGGCCGATGACAGGATCCCCACGGTTATATCCGAGTGCTGTGCCCTCCATAACATTTGTGAAGGGAAGGGTGAAAGATTCACTCAGGCATGGAACTTGGAAATTCAACACCTGGAGGCTGAATTTGAACAGCCAGAGAGCAGGGCTATTAGAGGGGCCCAGCTCGGGGCTGCAAGGATTAGGGATGCCTTGGTGCAATTTGAGGCTGAAAGCCACCAGTAATGTCTGGTGCCCTGCACGGGAGTGAAGTGCAGTGGTTCCAATGTTAGTAGGAATCTGTGTTTGCTACTCTGACTTGCAGTGAATGTTTCTTTCCTGGGCTAAGGTATCTTTTACTTTGTGCAATAATAAAGAATGTTTTCAAAGCCAAAAAATTGAAAAGAAAATTCATTTATTGAAAAGAGACACAACTGCTTGGGAAACAGAAAGGGCAAGGGGGTGGAGAACGGTACCATCACAGATTTGCATATGTCCTATCTGGAATACTGTGCACTGAGTGCTGCACTTCAGGATGGCTATACTGCATGGTGATGGGGGTTGAATGCAGTGAGTAAGGATCGTAGTTTTCAGGGCTGGGTGGTGAAGCTACAGGTGTTGGAGGGAGCTGGTGGCGGTAAGAAGCCGGATGTTGGGGAAAGTGGTTTGGAGGTGACATGTGGGCACAAGGGAAAGAGTTTTGGGACAAGGGCTGCGGGGGGGGGGCGTGGTAGTGCTCGGCCTCCATTGCTACCAGCGCCTGTATCTAGTCTGCTTGGCGCTCCATGATGCTTAGCAGCTGCTCCGTGCTTTGGTGCCGGCGATCTGCATTCTGCTGGCAGACCCTCCTTTCACTCTCCTGCCACTCCTGCACTTTTTGATTTTCATTACTTGAATGCTGCATTACTTCATGCAACATGTCTTTCTTGCTTCTACATGGCCTCTTTCTGATTCTGTGGAGTCTTTCAGCCGGTGATAAGACGGACGGCTGAGATCTCAAGCTTGCATCTGTAAAGGCAAAATTCAACACTTAACAGAGGCAGCATTGTTCACACCAGACAGAGCAATGATTCCCCCATACTTAAGGGCAAGCACAGTCTACACAATAGCAGAATTTGCCCATTCCAAAGTGAGCGCACATAACCCACGGGAGCCCCAAAATGATGAGTAAGCACAGGGTCAAGCATGACTGATTGTTTCACGGCTGTACTGTCCTCTGGGTTTCTGTGCCTTGGGGAGAGCCAACAGCGGCAGGGGGCCCCTATACTGAACACTGTCCCCACATTTTTCACAGGAATTCATCCTGCAAGATATCTCGCTGCTGAGGGTGACCTGGGAAGCAAGGGAGGGTCTTCTGCTACAATGCGGCTTCCACCCTGGCCCATATGCAGCTTGCCTGTGTGCAGCAATGGTCCCCTCGCCCCTCATGGCAGAGTGGCATAGACAAGTTAGCCTGACTGGGACAAGGACCACAGTGGCTCTCCCGAGAAACCTGCACAAGCGCATTGCCCAAGTTCTGGATGAGACCTTTGAAGAGATCACTGAGGCCGATTACTGC